ATGAGGACGCTACCAAACGAATTTAGCCGATATGTAATACCATGCTTTGTTGCGTCTGGTAAATGTACTGAACCAGGAACGCTGCCTTGCAGGTAATAAAAATGAAAAAGAACCATTTTCTTTTAGGATTTAGTTTATAATGTGATTGAAGCAAGTTACACTGGATAAAATCGCTCGCTTTAAAGGTTGTGAATTTGATCTAAATATGATGTAAGTGTCCAAAATTCTGTAAATTTGATGWAAATKATTTCCATTAAATTTACAGAATTTTGGACACTTACATCATATTTACATCAAATTTACAAGCTTTAAAGCGCGCGATTTTTTCTCAGTCTTACAGGGTATGCTAACATCTTTATATGTGCGGGTTTTTTTCGTTTGTTTGCTTGTTTTTAATGTTAACATAAAGGCAACTTTTTCTGATCTGAACATGCTCACTTATGCTTGGTGTCTATTGTTTTGCATTGCCCTTGTTTCCATCAAGGGAATTGGCAACTAAGCCAATACATTTTTGGACAATTAAGACGATTATTTTGACACTAGGCCCAATCTCGAGCCCAGAGTCTTCACTGCTAATGTCAGCGGTAATGCTTACACCGAAAATCCACTAGATTGCGACACTTTTCCATCGCAAATTAGGTCATGTTTGTTTTTCATGTCACAGCATTAAAATGACAAAAAAGACAAAATAATGTAGTTTAGGGACAGTAACTACACAATAATAATACAATACCCTAGAATCACGCATTGACTTCCGCTGGATGGCAAAAGTGCGGGCTCAGGGTACGATATTGCATTGGGTCTTAAACAACTTCATTCTTTTATTGCTTTCTTTCAGTGTCCATAACACGTTGTATCTTGAGGTGCATTGTCCTACTGTAACTCCATCCGTCGTAGTCATATCRGACAGCGGTCGTAACGTGGTGGATTTTGGKAACGTTTCTTTAGGTAACGAATTACTAGYTTCTAGTCTCTTTATCAGGCATCTATATGATTCACGCTGTCTTTGGGTTTCCTGTGTATAAGGTCCATTTGAAGAATACTTATKCTAATGAGCAGCGGACATTTATACGAAGGCGGATAAAGACATCAACCGGTTAAAGTGCAACTGAACCCTACTAGAAAGTCGTTTCATTCCAAATAGAACATGCTGCTAAGCACTTCTGCAAAGGGAAAAAACATTCAAATTTAGAAATATTTGAAAATCGGAAATGCAAATTCAGTGACGTCTACTAAGGAATGATTTAATATGCAAAATCACGAAAAAAATACATTACTCTTTTWTTTATATTAGAGATGACATTTCCATTTTTTGAATATCACTGTTATTGATGATTTGACCATTTCAACCGAACACAAGATATCGCAAACATTGAAAAACCTCCAGTCCAATCCCTTGGTTGACGTCACTTCATTAGCATTTTCAATTTTCAAATGCCTTTAACTAAGAAATAAAATTCAAAAAACTTTTTTTTCTTCAAGACAATGATTAGCATCATATTTGCCTTTTGTTAAATGATTTTCTAAAAGGATTCAGTTGATCCACTGGAGAAGTATTTGTCCGATGGATAGCGTTATTTATAGCCATAGTTAATAGAGGGGAATGGTTTGGAAACCTTGTGTTCTACTTCTTTTGTACATCTTTTGTATGTATTTTGGGGTTTAATCAGTCAAGACTGCACAACTTTTTTCTTGCGGATGATAGAAATTACAAAATGACTAATGATAAACACCCTCTATTAGATAATGAAGTGAAATATTTCAATATTGGTTAAAATTCTTTGTGCATTTCGAAGAAATAGTCCTGAAAAGAATAATTTTCGCTCTGTTCATTCAGATGTGACCAGTATGGCTAAAAATAGTTAAACGAAAGATTGTGCATGTTCACGCTTTTGAAAAAAGTGCACAGTCACGATTTGAAAAAAAGTGCACAAAAGCTTGCAACAAAAGGCTTCCTCACCAGTTCCCTCTACAAACTATGTTATAACGGGGTGACCTACGTAGCACGCAGTTGATGTAATGTATTCATAAAATGTATTGTATTCCATTGTTTCTCGTTCTATTGTATTATGTGTTTTGTATTATATCTTATATATTACATCAACTGAGTGCTACGTAGATTCTCCCATGTTATAACCGAACTAACTAGCCAATTTTTTCAATTGGTGTATTTAATAAATAAATAAGGCTCAGTCGTGGTTTATACTCTGATAAACGCACGCTTGGTATTTGAAACACACGAGAAAATGTCAAGAACCACGAGCTGAAAGCGAGTATAAACCACAGACTGAGACTTATTTATTTGTTTTATTATATAGATTTTGTGCAAACCTTCAGCAAAAATCCATTTTTTGGGCTTTTTCAAAAATCGCTCGCGCTCAATCGTGGTTTATACTCTCATAAAACACACTTTTTTGGCCAATCAGAGCGCGCGTTAGAATTCATCTATATAATAAAAACTGATAACTGTCTTTTGTTATCTCCAGGTCAATCTGATTTGAAGACGATCACTATACAAAATATGTACCATGAAACTCTATGTGTATCCTTTGAATGCAAATTATTGGTTTGGTAAAAGAGATCTCCAAGGGGCTGAAGATTAATTTTTGCGTCTGTTCGATATGCACTATCGTCGGTTACTGATTTCAGTGGTATACCACAGCAATTTATGTTGCGCGTGCGCAGTGTTATAGAGATCGCCGTTCAACCAATCAGGGCAGGATCACTATTATCGGGTCGTACGTTACGCCATTGGCGCCATGTTGCTTTAAAATAACAAAGCATTTATCCACAATGGCAGTTGTTGTTGCTCTTTATTCTCTTATTTTGCTCTTGCTCTTGCTCTTGCTCTTGCTCTTGCTCTTGTCTGTTTTTCTTATTCTTGTCGTTTTTCGTGTTGCTGTTGTTTTTGTTCTTTGTGATTATTCAAATCATATGTTTGTTTTATTATGTTGCCTTGACTACTGTCAATAGATAAAGTCCTCATTACTAGACCCTCACGGTCCATTTCAGCTGCTCAATGCTCTCAGAAGCCTGGAACCACAGGCCACTCACACAGTTGTTCTGTCTTTTGAACCCAACTCTGCCAAAGAGGTTAGGATTGTTATGGTCATTGTAAAATTTTGAATTAACGTACTTTATACGATTCCTATATGATTATGTATAACTTCAACAAATTGTACTGGATTTATCATGAAATTTGCGACTTTCAAAAATGGCGCGATATGTCACGGTCGCCTGAATGGGCACAGGGGAGCAAACTTCGAATAGAGTRAACTTCGATGGTGTCTTGCAAGAGTGTTTTGTTATAAATAACATACAAATACATCTTTCAAACTTTGACACTGTCTGCCTACATACTATCTTCGTGGTGATTTTTAGATGCAAGGCCTTTTAGGTCTCGTTTTCAGGATTCTTCACCAGTCCCTCGATATTGAAGGTCGTGAACTACCGGCCTTTTTTGAAAGTCGTATATGACATTCAACTTTATGTCATGTAAAAAACAACTGTTTCGGACGTTTTGTTACAACAATCATATAAAGAAATCCTTTTGTACCATTCCATTGGGAAGGATTTGCTTTTGCCCTCTGAGCATCTCATAATTTTTTCGTTTATTTTTATCTTTATTATTATTTTTGCAGTTTAATGAAGTGCTTGAGCTACACTGTCCTCGTAACACGTTGTCTATCAGACTAAAGGGACGGGGTGTTACACCTGCTATTTCACTGTCAATTCCTGATGGACAACTGGACCTTGGTGATGCTCTGGTCAATGACTCAGTCGTGTCGACGTTTAAGGTAAGGTTTACAAAAAAACACATCTTTCTGCAGTATTCCTCGGTGATTTTGCTGCGATTTTCAAGAATATAGCAGATTTTGTCTTATCCTTGTGAAGAGAGGTCTAGTCAGCTCAGATCGAAGTCTACTGAATAAAACTTTACAAGTTCATTCTTCAACGTTGTTTATTAGGATCAAATGTGAACTTAAAAATTGCTACAAAACTCGTCAAATTACAATTTTTTCATGTTTTAAAATGAACATACATCATGATATAAACAGAACCTTATTATTTTTTATTCCTTTATGCTCTATGAATGGAGAAATTGTAAGATTCGATCATAAAACCGACGGATGAAAACGGATTTTGAATATTTGAAGTCAATTCAATATTTGCCGATTTGCCGTATATGATAAATCTAACCCATGAACGCATTACATGCTRATTAACGCATTTTCATAATTATAGATCAACAATACATCAGAATTAGCCATCACCTACAACCTCAGACTTGATAGTCAGTCATCATTACGTCATAGTAGAGCCCAGGCTCTTCCCGGTTATCTCGAACAGTACAAAGACCTCAACGACAAGCAATGGCCCATCGTCGGTGAGTATGAGATGATGGGTCGACCACTACCGTCAGAACGAATCTTGTGATTGGTCGAGACAACAAAAACAAAGAATTATAGGATTACGTCAGACAATGGTTATTGTTCTACTGGATATCTATTTTTGTATTGCCTGTTTCTCGTTATTTTTTTTCATCATATCACAATCTTTGTTCTAACAGTAGTGCACACCCCGAGATGATCCAGCGCGCAAAAAATGTACCGTGATCATTTTGAACCAATCAAGTTATTTGCTGTTTTTAGGGCCTTCTAATTGTAATGGTGTTGCAGTTATTGATTGTGTACCAGAACGTGGGGTCATCGCTCCTGGTAAGCATAGCTTGACTTAGGGAACTTCAGATTTGACAACGAGTACGAGTTTTCAAACAGGCTTTTTTTTTGTGCTGTCCATACTGGGTTTTAACCCTCTTCGTGCTTTTATTTCTTTGACATTTCAATCTATTCACAGGAATGCAATTCATGGTAAATAGCACACTTAAGGCCAAACTTAAAACTCGTACTCGATCTCGTGCTCGTTATCAAATCTATAGCGATACTCAATGTGACGCAATCCTTTGTTATTCATGTGCCAACCAGAAGACGATTGGCTGTTAGAACAAAGCGACTTGTGAAAAGCCATTCTGATCATGGTTGGCACTTTATACATTGAGTATTGCTATATTTTTTTGACGAGGGGGATTAGTCCTCCCCCCTCCCCCCCTCCCTCACTAACTATAATCTAACTGGTCTTTGTGAATAGTAGTACGCGTCCCCGTTGACCAAACCATTGTTCCGACCTCATCTTTTTAATACTAACAATTTATCTTGTAAATAAAATGATAATCCCCGTCATTTTTGATTTGTGATATTTGATTTAATCTTGTAAATAGGCGAGTCAAAGGAGATCACCGTGACGTTTGCCCCAGACCATCCCAGCGTGCACTACGTTGATGTCATGTCAGTTGTGATCAACGATGGGGTAATAAATATAACAGAGTCACTTTTTTACTTTTTAAAACTTACAATTACAAATGTTCTAATACCCCAGTTTCGAACGCTATTTGGTGCAAGCTTAGCTTCAATCAAGCGTTTTTTATTGCCTTCTTTGTAAATAGAGTGTTTGCATTACAATAGGTTCTGAATAAAAAATGTATTACATGCCTTCGAGGTTAAGGCTGTACAAATAAGATCTCGAAACCGGAGTATTCTCTACGTCGTTTTTCCACAAGGTGTTTAGTACTGACTACTAATACACAAAACTATGGGATAGAGTAAACACAGGAAAACCATGAAATAAAATCAAACTAAATACTTACAAATTGCGGCTAATTTAGAGACAATTTGTCAGTATCAATGAACCAAAACACAATCAAGATGAATCCACATATGACCATTTTTCATTCATCTTGATTGCGTTCTGGTTCATTGATACTGACAAATTGTCTCTAAATATCCGCTATTTGTTAGTATTTAGTTGATTTTATTTCATGGTTTTCCTGTGCAAGTTACGTCATCACCGCCATGTTGGATGAAAATCACAAAGCATCCCTCATTGGTTTCGCTTGTTCATTCATCCAACATGGCGACCAGGGGATTCCTGGTCATGTGGTTGCACACCAAGAATTGCAAATCCAGCAGTTTGAATGGCTAATGAACTATAGTTTATTCATGTTATACGATAGTCGCATCGAATGAAGCGAAATCAAAAAAATTAGAAAAATGTCGAGAAACATTGTTCTGTGTGGTCAATTTTCAAATTCGCACTATACAGTCAACTCTCGCCTTACGGACACCCCGCTACAACGGATACCTCGATTTGTACAGTAAAATACTGAATCCCCGGCGAAAAATACAAAGAAAAAGAAATGACTGAAAGTAACTCTCGTTACTACGGACTCTCGCTACTGCGGACACTAAATTACGGTCCCGAGGGTGTCCGTAGTAGCGAGAGTTRACTGTAGTTTGGCGAATACTAAAACAAGTGCGGCCAAAAGATTCCACCCCACCTCGTGGTCTAATTGTTAATTATTGATCACAGGACAAGGCGGAGAAGATTAAGCTGACAGGACGTGGCTGGCCGTCACTTGTGTTTATACAAGGTTTCGACGAATTGATGCCCAGTATAGAATCTCTTGTTCCACAAACAGAACATGACGATGAAGAAGGTATCGATATAGAGCGTTTACAAACTACTTAACAATTGATCGTTTTCAATCATTCTCATAAGATTCAAAAGATAAAACACCGGCGGCCATGTTGGAGGAGTGAACAATAGATATTTATGAGAAATCCTTTGTTAAAGTTTCTCCTATATGGCCGCTGTGACGTAACTTGAAAAAGAAGAATAAAGTAGTTGAATCGAATACATTATGCTGTGGTAGACGCGCGCGAAAACTTGATGTTACGAAAAACAAATAGTGGCACGACAACACAGTTCAGGGTCACTTTGATGTTTTGAAGTACTTCCAGTTTCCAAGGCAACTATCACAGCAAATTTTCCGAGATTTATTCTACTCTATTACAAACAAATTTTCTTAGAGCGCATTTCGTATGACCGTGAAAAAAAAACACGGTACTTTCGCGCTGTGACCTTACCGTGCCGTAGAGATGATGTATTTTTAAATCTTTGTTTTTATTTGGAATCCTAGAAGGCGAGGTTCCGTGACTGTGCCGTGTCCGTGTTGTGATCCTTTCCGTTGCACAGTCGTACGAAATCCGCTCTAACGGGGCTCTATGCACTTATTGCACTTACTCGTGGCGGCACTGTCGCGGCATGTGGTCGATTCTCGACAAGTGAGAGCAGAGGAAAATTTGTTATTGAATTTCAAATGTACTTAAAACATAGAAATACGCATAATACGCTAGTGACTAACTGATGTATGATTGATTTATTTTGCCTGCCAGATACCAAAGTCGTCAAAACTGTTCTATTGTCATTTAAAAGCTGCTCTAGTCCCGAGGGTTTCGGAATAGCCGAAAGACACTTGGAAATAGGCTGTATTAAGTCAAGTATCCAAACCAAAAAGGTAAGTTGGAAGGACTTCTTGTTTACTTTGTTTTGCTTAGATTTGCTTTTCTTTGTCAGTTTTCTTTTCTTTTCTTTGTCAGTTTTCTTTTCTTTTCTTTTCTTTTCTTTTCTTTTCTTTTCTTTTCTTTTCTTTTCTTTTCTTTTCTTTTCTTTTCTTTTCTTTTCTTTTCTTTTCTTTTCTTTTCTTTTCTTTTCTTTTCTTTTCTTTTCTTTTCTTTTCTTTTCTTTTCTTTTCTTTTCTTTTCTTTTCTTTTC